GTCCTGCAGAGGCTGGGGCTGCTGCTGGGGCATGTGGTAGGCTTTATATGCAACCAGAAAGCCACTAATTTGGGCCTGGAGGGAGTGGCAGAACTCCTGGGTTCGGTGGGGACAGAACCAGCCAAAAGAGGGCCAGCAGCACCTGAGTGGTAGGGAGAGATCAACTGTAAGAGGGCTGACCACCTACTTGATGGAGACAGACCAGTCCTAACAGGGCTGAATGGCACCTACACGGAACTGCTCACTGCCAGGGCTGCAAAGGGCTCGCCCCACCTCCACTACTGCCTTTCCCCAGGCCTCAGCCTTACAGCCTTTAAGGGAGAAGAGTTTGAAGGAGGCCCCAGAGGAAATGTCAAGATTCAAACTCGGGTCTGTTGGGCCCCAAATCCTTCCTCCCATCCCTTTACAAGATTACTTCCACTCCTTGACAAGGAGCCAAGGCAACAAAAGCAGAAACTCCACCCACTTACTCATCCATCCTCCCCACGCCTACACAGCTTCAGGCACCAGGCTGGGGAAGACTGTCAGGAAACAGCCCCAGCCCTTTGTCCTCAAAAAGCCAGGCTTTCAGGCAGAGAAAGACCTGGTAGCAGACTGCTCACCCTCACCCCCCCAAAACACACATTCAAGGTCTACCACTGGCATATCCTTAGGCCTCCAGGGACCCAAAAGACACAATGGTGGGTCTTACCCTTGAGGAATAACTAACCTAGATAGTTGACTATCAGGTAAAATGGAAAGTGACAATGGTCTTCAGAGAGAAATAGGGGGAAGAAAAGGTCCCATGTCTGGGAAATCTGGAAAGACTTCTTGGAGGAGGAACCTGTGAGCTGGGTCTAGGTAGTGAGAGATAGAGTGGGCCTCATGGCTGGAGCGAGGCAATCTAATTGGGGGTGGGAGGCATCAGGACACAAAGGAGGAAGGACAGGGTTGGGTTGTCTGGAGACAAAGCCAGGAATAGGCCAGCAACTTCTTATACTGAGGGTTGATTGCTCAGAATAAAAACCCTAAAGGATTCTGAGACTCAGGGTGGGGTCTTGGTGACCATCACTGACTGTCGGGCGTGTGGCATGTGGGCATGTTCCAGAAGCATGGTCCCACCTACTCCTGATGTGCTGCCTAGAACTGTACCTGAGTTACTTGGTTGTCCCCAGCGCAGCCGGGGGAACCATTCCCTGGCGGGCTGCCAGATTGAGCCAAAGTGGCTACAACCCACACGTTCACACTCAAGTCTAGCAGCCTTCCCGGGCTTCTGTGGCTCCCGCCTCTGGAACCACGGGATCTGTGCTCAGGGTACATGCAGAAGTTCTGGGCGCCTCTGAACGCTGCTCATTTACAAAGTCCTGTTGTTTACTCAGTCCTCCCCCAAGACCTGCGAGGCTTGGAGAATGAAAACAGCCCGTCATGCACAGAGAGAGGGGCACAGCTGAGAGCATACCTCTGTCTCCTGACACTGGAGCACATGACTCTGTACCCCAGTAGGCTTGGAGGGCCCACCCAGGAAGGCTGGGGAGCAGGTGCTTCCTGTGGTGTCCAAGCCATACTCGAACCCTAGTGGCAGCACGCCGAGCCAATTGTGCTGTCTTTTAGCCTTTCAGGGGAGGCCACCTTACATCTGTGGCCTCTAAGCCAGCACACCACTCTTGGGGCCTTCGAAAACTTACACAGGCCTCAAGCCATGACCAGCTACGATGGGAAAAGAGTGGGTAGAAGGACCAGAGACGAGCAGTAGAGGAGGAGCCTGGAGAGTCTGGTGATGGTTGAAACCACCAGGGGCCAGAAAAATGTGGGAGGGACACCAGGCTAGGAGCTGCATGGCGCATTTCAGACCTTGCTCGGACTGTGGCTCAAAGAAGGACTAGGGGTGAGCCAGGGGGGCTTCCCATACACACACAAGTTCTTTAGCCTTGGTGAGCAGAGCTGAGAGGCTCTGCCAGTTCCCTCAAACTTGTCTCTACCCAGGATACTTTGTCTCTTGGTCTGCATTGTCAAGAATGAAGGGCTCAGCTGCCCTGGCCATGGCTGGAGGTCTCTGCCAGGCCTGCCTGCCCACTCGGGGTCTCTGCCCCTCTTTGACCTCAGGAGCCTGGTGGGGGCTACAGAAATATCAAAGGTGGAGAGGAGGGCGACTGTTTCTACTCCTGGGGCTGGAGCAGACCCCACTGTTCTCAATGAGAATCTTGCCATGGCCAGGATCTGGGGGTCTGAACAAGGAGCCAGGGGGCCATGGTATGGTTGGGGCTGAGACACTGGCTCCACCCAGGGAGTGGAGCTGATCAAGGTGGGAAGAAGGACCAGTGTCTAGGCAGGGTGGTCTCAGTAGCCCACGCAGAGATGGCTATGACAAGGCCACTCACCGATACCATTTTTAGAAAATAAGGGAACCAGCAGTTAGCATAATGGCTATGTCGCTGGATTCCCACATAGTCGACCGCGGTTCGTGTCCCGGACCTGGTGGCTTAAAACTCACACCGGGCGCGTGTGCGTGCGTGCCCAAGATCCCGAGAGGAGAATGGAGGAGAAGGGATTGCGGCGTGACCATCCCCCCTGGGGGGTGATTTCTCGCTTTCTGTCTCTATGTCTCTCTCTGTCTGTCTGGTGAGCGCACACGCCCTACAGTGAAAATCTCTCCAAAAAAAAAAAAAGAAAGAAAATAACATGTTAGTACATAAAGCATCATTCCATGATCCCGATTCTGTAAATGTAAAATAACATGCCTATAGCTATGCCTACATACATAAAACACTATATGGAAACACATTAAAATGTTAGCAGTGGCTGCCTTTGGAGGTACAATAATATGTGAATTATTTTCTTCTTTTGGATTTTCTGTATGTTCAACAATCTATAAATACAAGATACTTTGAAATGTTTCCCCAGGTTTCATTTGAGGTAGTTTTCATAAGATCAATCACTTCAGCTAAAGAATATGCAAGAACTCAGTGAAAACTGTGCCTCTTAATTATAAATGTTGATATGACAAGTGATATGTTAATAGTGACTGTTCATAAGTACACCTTTATTTACCTAATCTTTTTTAACAAACATGGAATTTCTACAATGTATTAAATTAAACACCTATCAGTGGTCCTGAATTATTCAAAAGTATACGGAATTATACAAAAGTGAAGAAGTACATTTCTGATAGCTTATTTATTTAAAGGCTTTGAGTGTTTGAATATTTATTCACTTTTCAAAGGTTTAAGAGTTTCAGGAAGCGTAAGAATGGATGAACATGATCTGAGAAGTCTGAGAAAATCTAAAGAGAACAGAGGCAGGCGGCGCCAAGCCTGGGTGCAGCTCTGGCTACAAAGACGGAGAGAGTGTTGCACAGAATGGACAAGTGGGGGTAAGGAGGGGCCCCCGGGAAGCCCAGACAAATGTGCTCTGCGCTCCTGTGAAGCTCAGGTGTGGGTTTCACAGACGGTCTGAGCCCAGGGAAGCATGGGGAGACCCTGCAGGGACCAGCTCTGGCCACAGAAGCCACAAGAGGCCAGCTCTCCTATGTGTGGACCCTGTCCAGGCCCAGGGCCCACTCCAGGCATCAGCACGTCAGAGTCCTCGAGAAAGATGCCCACAGGATCCAGGATGAAATGTGGCTAAATGAAGAGATAACGATTTACTGTGAAGTCTGGTTGAAATGAATAGGCCACACTGGGTATAACTTTCTTTTCTTTTCTTTTCTTTTTTTTTTTTTTTGGAGAGGTTTTTGCTATAAGGCACGTGCGCTCGCCAGACAGACAGAGACAGACAGAGAGACAGAAAGTGAGAAATCACACACACCCCCCCAGGGGGGATGGCCACGCCGCAATCCCTTCTCCTCTTGGGATCTTTGGCACGCACGCACACGTGCCCAGCATGAGTTTTAAGCCACCGGGTCCGGGACGCGAACTGCAGTCGACTACATAGGAGTCCAGAGACATAGCCATTACACAAACTGCTGGTCCCCACACAGAGTATAGCTTTCTTACAGAAACAAAAGCTGGTTCTTCCTCTCGGTAAGATGTGCAGAGACAGGAGGTTTAGATGGCCCAGTCACTGCTTTACAGCTGCAAATGAAGCCAATTTCTGCCTGTCCTGACCTCCCACAGCCATCGCTTGGTCTAACCTTCATCGCTTGGTCTAACCTTCTTGAAGCAGCCAGGGATCAGGCCAGAACCACACACCATGTCAGAACCATGGTGACACCTTCACAACAAGTTTTTGCTACCCATGTGGGGCCTCCTTCACCATCATGGTCAATATGGTAATGTCCCTCCTCCTGCCACCAGAACCTGCTCACCCCAAGGACACTTCAGCTTCATGACTGTCCCAGCCCAGACATCTAGACTCTGTGCCCTCCCACTACAACCTGTACATAATCCTTCCAATGACTGGTCCTGCCCTGTGGAGCCCCGCTCCCGACCCCGTCACGGCCAGCACTGTGCCCGGGCACACACAGGTATGGACCCTTAACCTGACCGCCCCTTTCGCAGAGACTGGCCTCAGCTGCCTGTGCTGTCCGTGGACTCCGGCCCTGGCTTCTCTAGCCAGCTCTGAGAACGCACATGCAGCTGCTCTCTGACAGGCAGGGAGGAGACGGGCTTTTCTCATCTCTCCTGTCTACCCACTGCACACGGACCCCAGCCTCACACCCAACTCCAGCTGGGGCCTAACCACACAATCTGGCAGCTCTGGAGGAGCCCGCTCCGGCCCAGCCCACACATACTTTCACACAATCACTTCAGAGTGCCACGGGCACTGCCAACTCTGAACAAACCAAAGGCACATTGGTGCCTCAAACCCCCGAGGGAAGGAGCCCAAGTAGTGACATGCAGAGGGAAGAAGTGAAGATTGGAGGTCAGAGGGGGCATAGCCTAGCATCTTCCTCCCCCAAGGTCTGGAAACCTCAGGGGCCTGCATTTCTCCATTCCACCTGGCACACCCCTCCTCTGTGAACCAAGGCAGCTCCAGTACCCGAGGACCAATGATATGATCTCCTGCCCTGTGAGGAGGCCCACCTTGAAGAGAAGGCAGTCGGTCTTGTGCTCGGCGTACAGGGAGGTCAGCCGGTACTGGTTCTCTGTGGTGATGTCTATCTGGTAGCCTGTAAGCGTGTAGCAGACCTTGCGGAACTCCTGGATCTTGGTCTGGAAAACCTCCTTCAGCCGTTGGTTCTTCAGCTCAGCGCTTTCCACCTGCTTCCTCAGCTCTGTGAGGGAGAGATGAAGGAGATGGGGTGAGCTTGCCACCAGGCTGCAGACTAGGGCTGGCTCTGGTTCTCAAACCCAGAGCAGGGACAGGACTCAGAGGGCTCCCTAGGTGGCACAGATGCCTGGGGAGGATGTGAGCCAGGGCCACATCAGCAGCCTTGACGTGTGCGCTAGAGAAATCGGAATAAAAATGACAGGCTGATAAAATGGTCTGACCTTCTGGTGGTAATAATAAGAAAGTTAATATTTTAAAAATAGTAACTCTGAAGAAAATAGTAGCTCTGAGAGCCAGATGTTGAAGCCAGATACCTACCTGGCTCTGTGCTCCAAGCTTTGCTCTTGCCAGCTAACCCCCAAGTCCTTGGCAGGAAGTGTGGGTTGGTCATGACTTGGGGGGGAGGGGTGAGCTTCCCTGGACAAGAACGTTCTAGAGGAGGAAGACTTGGAAATCTAGATCCGGACTGAAGGCCTGAGTCTGCTTCTCACCACCATGTAATTCTGATAGTCAGTGCCTAAGCTGTAGCCCGAGTCCTTACCTAGGTCAGACACCTCAGGAGCCAGTAGAGTACGAGCACGTGGCAAGCACTCAGAAAAGCGTGTGTGTGTGTGGGGTGGGAAGGGCAGGAAGCCATCTGGAGATTTCGGATCATATTACTCTAAGGGGTTCCACCTATCACCACCTCTAAGACAACACCACTGGTGACACTGGCTCTCTGCCCAGTGCCATCCAGGCAGGCTCCACAGCTGGGCTGCAGGAAGACCACTGGCCCTGCCCGGGGCCCACCATCCCCCCTTGGTGCTCAGCGGGCCATTCAGGGTAGAGACTCCTGACTCCCACCACTCCCGCCCATCATGGTTTACTGCTGTTCAGGGAGAGACTGCCTGTGTGAAGCTACCAGGAGGATACACAACAATTACCATGAATCTCTCATCCAAGGCGACTTCCAAGTAATTAAACCTCAATTTATCCCCCTGTTAATTATTGAGACTAGTGCTACTTAAACACAAATGGAGCTGTCTTCTGGGCCAAGCACTTCTCAGCAGTCTGATCTGGAGCTGAGACTAGGGTCCTGGACTACCCCAGGCTAGGACAGGAGCCTGGCTGGCAAATGGAGTTATGGAAAAACTCCAGACCCTGGAGTAGATCAGGCTAGATTTGAGTCCTGCTCTATTCAGCAGGCTGTGTGAGCTGGGTCAGCCCCTTCCACTATGATGGGACCAGGGACTCTCCTCCTTGGGCTGAATCAGAGGCTGGTGTGGGTCCCCCATGTCCAGACACAGGCTGGTTAACTCCCTAGCTGAGCCAAGAGGGGCAGCTAAAGTCATCATGACCCCAAGGTCAGGGAGAATCCAAGGCCACACAGTGCCCAGGGGTGTGTCTGAAGACCACGGTTCCATCAGGCCAGGCCTAGTGTGCAGTCCCCAGCGACCATCCTGGAGGGATGTGAGAAGAAAGCTAAAAGTCTGAGCACCTAGTGGCCAGTTCTTAGGGGTGGACGGTGGGAGGCATGAGAATGTGAAGGGTGAGTCAGGGCACTGTGGCCCTACCTGAGGTGCGTGGATAGTCAGGGTTGCTTCCTGGAGAAGGTGAGCAGGAATTGGGAGCTGGCGTTTCAGAAAGAGAGCCAAGTAGAACCCAGGGGAAACCTTACTCAAGAAATGGAGACCCAAAGAGGGTACAGTATCCTATCCTGGCTCTGCCACCTCCAGACCTACGGCTCTGCACTATCCCTTTGCCCCGTTTCCAGAGTCTTCTCTGAAGGAAGAACACGAGCACACAGCTGCCTAAGAGGCTGCCCCGAGAATTAAGCCCATCCTGTGCAGGAGGCAGGCTATCTGCTGAGAGTGAGCACTTGTGGGCATCACGCCACTGACGGTGCCACATGTGAACCCATGTTACACGCACATGTGAACTCACATCACTGCCACATTACTGTTAGTAGAGATGAACATGATTCCCGTCTCACAAAGGAGAAAACTGAGGCTCTAAGAAATGAATCAGCTGGTCGCAGAGATTAAACGTGCAGGTGGGCTGTGACAACCTCCCTGCCTGGTGGGGTTCTGGGGGCTCAGCCCAGGGTGGGGCCCACATTCTGAGTGGGGGGTTCTAACATTGAGCTGGGAACAGTCAGGGGTCCATACAAAACCCAGACGTCAGCAGAAGAGCCGCGTGTGCCCTCCGCCCACCTCTGGGACTAGAGCCATCTGCGAGGCCTGGCCATTTGCCCTGCCCTGGCTGCTCCTCCATTTATCACTGTTCGATGGCCCTGGTGGACACTGTTATCCCACAGTCAAGGGCCCTCCGTCAGGACGCAGGCTCGGGGCCCTTGATTAATCGAGTAATCAGACTATGAAATCAAAAGGTTAATTGGCAGCTCTGACCCCAATATTCTTCCCTGTGTCCCTCAGCCAATCCTCCCTATGATGGAGCCGTCAGCAGAGGAAACCCACGCGCAGAAGGAAAAATTCCCTGACCACACTCCAGAGGCGATATTTCACCCCTGTCAGAGACTGCGCTGCCTTCAATATATCTCAGACGTCCAATGGGGAAAAATTAAATTTCGGTAATAAATGCAGGCTGACCTTGGAGAAGGAAATAGCCCCTTTCCCCACAGATACCAAAGCCACTTTTTGTGCAGTTCATAGACCCCTGGAAGTTGATGGGGCTCATGGCCGCATGAGGCTACAAGCATCTGGTGAGGGTGGCGCTTCTTCTCAAGGCGAGGCCACGCCTGTCATGGCTGGGAGGAGGAGGTCCCCTAGCGCTTGCTTTGGGGACATTCTCTGGTTCCTGCCATGTGCCAGGTCCTTCTGGGCCTATTCTTACACGGTAGGGCTGCTGCCCTTTGATAGGCAAGGATTTTCTCAAGGCCACACACCTCTCAGAGAAAGGAGGAAGCCTGACCCCAATCTGCCAGTCCAGGTTGAGGAGGGCCCAGCTTTCAGGTAAGAGCCATCTTAAAAAGGGGGTTCCAGGAAGGAAATCATGAACAATCAATCACTTGATTTGGGGCCCAGAAAAGTCATTGATTGACCTTCCCCATTATTCTTGCGATTCAATTGCTTACATAAATGTAAATGAATAATTCACACGATGGTTGGATTAAATAAATAAAAGATGGGTTTTCTGCCTTGGAAATGTCATCGCTTTCTTGAATGCAGCCTCTTTCCCAAATGAGATGGGAGCTGGGGCTTCCATGGGCCTGGACATGGGAGCTGTGACAGGCTTCCTCATGGGCCACAGGAGACCCCTGGGTGACCTGCATGCCCCCCAGTCCACTCCCAGACCTAGTAGGCCCTACCTTGGCCATTCTCAGGCCTGATCTGCTGTGATGACATGTGGGCAGTTGGCAGGGGGCCTTTCTGCTGAAAGCCACAGAAGCTCCTGGGCTCCTGGTTACCTCAGACACCCTGGGAGGAGGACCTTGATGGTCCTGTCCTCTGGGGAGTCCCAGTCAAAGGTTCTCAATCTCTTTCCTTCTTTCTCCCCCAAGGACCATCCCCAGGCTACAGTCCAAACCCTAAAGAGGTGCTGAGGTCCCTCAAGCCCCAGCCAGACTTGCCCTCGGCCAGTCTCTTGCCTTTCATGCCCCACTGCTATTTTTGGGGGGTGGGTGGGTGGGTGGGGGGTGAGGTAGGTTTTTACCTTAGGGAGCGTATGCTTGCCAGAGAGAAAGAGAGACAGACAGAAACGGTGAGAGGAAAAGTGAGAAATCACCCCATGGGGGCATGGCCATGCCACAATCCCTTTTACTCCACTGTTCTCCTGGGATCTTGGGCATGGAGGCATATGTACCCAGTGTGACACTGGGTCCAGGACTTGAACTGCGGTCGTCGCTATGTGAGAGCCCAGCGTTGTAACTGCTACACCATCTGCTGGCCTTTCTTGCCCCTTTAGTTACAGCTACTCTGAACAGGAGAACTGCCTAAATCTGCTGTCTTCCTTCTGCTCTGGAGCCTCCCCTCTCAGGCCCCTCTTCCCTGTCCTCCTGGACACCTCGGCCTGCTTAGGCAGAGATGTCTGCTCCCTGAGGTCCTGATGCTGCCCTCTGCAGGGACTCAGGGGTACATTCAAGTCCTTGTGAGGGACAGGAGGAAGGAGAGTGGCAGGTGAATAAAAGGACAAGGCGACATTCAGTGGGTTGTCCAGTGCCAGGTAGAGGGTAGGCAGAAGCCACGCAGGCTGCAATGAGATGTTGGAGGGAGGTCACAGGAGCAGGTGCAGCTGAGCAACACCATCCATGCTTTGCCTATATGGGAGTTTGGCCAGGCCCGCTGGCTGCCTCCAGTCACATCTACACCCTGACCTGCCCCCTCTGCCATCCTAGCCCAACATCTAGCTCTCCTAGACAAGGCAGCTGTGGAAAGTTCTGTGGGAAGGACACAGAGCAAAAATAAAATGCACTCTATTATATAAAGGCTATGGCTTTACCCTCGAGAGCAGAGATGTCAGGATAAAGGAGCATTTATGGACACCAGTCTCGAGAGATGCAGTTCACAGCCAGAAATGTGGAGGATGGTTTCACACAGAGAGGCAAGTAGACTGTGAGAGGTGGGCAGGCCAGCAGGAAGGCACGGGGGGAAAGACCAGCCCAGAGAGAAGGCGGGCATTGTGGGCCGGGCAGTGTCAGTGGCCTGCTGTCTTGCAGCCAGCAGCACCCAGACAGTGCCCTATCTTACTCATTGCTTGCACCACAGTGACTGCATTTCCTTCTGACTGGCCTGCAGGTGAAAGCAGGAGCTGGGGGCTGCCATGGTGGAGAAGGTCTTTCTACTCTGTGTCCTCACACCCCCTACCAGGCACTAACCACAGCATCTCCGCTTTAGGTCAGAACACAGGACTACTGGCCCATGCTGAGATGGAGATCCTGGGGCCCAGGCCTTTCAGAAGCAGGAGGAAGGAAAAATCCAGTCCTGCTCTTAAACTCCTTTTATTCTGTGGAGTGTTATAAGGTACACACAAACAACACAGGTGGCAGAAATGCTTTTACAGATGCAA